TTCGTATCGTGAGTGTAGAGAACCGGAGACCCCTTTTTACTGGAAAGAAGGCATTCCATCTTAGTCCTCACGGGTGACAACGCATCTGCATTTTGATTCGTAGTCGAGGATAAATGTAGATGTTTATGGGCCATAGCAACCACTTACCACCAGGTGGACTGTGTGCTCGTTTGTCAACCTTATCCTATAAAAAAAAACCTACGGCACTGCGAGGCCGCGGGTTCAAATCCCACATGGAACAAGTGTTGGTTTGGCCTAGAAGTAATTGTTAAGAGTCTGAATGTTTGCCTTCGTGCAATTTATCGTATATAAAAGTGTCCTTAATACTGGAAAGAAACTTTTATTTTTAGGGATAATATTTTTTGTCTACTTATCTTTCCCGACTTAAGTGGCAACCCATTCACCAGCGACGAAGTATACGAGTACTCACAACCTTATACTCCATTCTGATGTCTCCTACTCTCCGTCTTACTTAACTTCTCATTTTCAGTACCTTTGCTCTAGCTATGACAGAAGCTTGCGTTATTCAAATAATCTTTTACTAAAGTGTCCCTCACATAAATCTGGTTTCCTGCGTTATTCCTTCACTGTACCGTCTGTTCTCCTCTGGAACGCACTCCTTCTTGAAATTAGAACGGCTAATTATCGTTATGCATTCAAGAAGAAAGTTCGCGAACATTACTTAAATAAATTGGCAGAATAATCTCATTAGCGGTATTTACTTACGTATTTATATAAATATATAATTATATATGTAACATATGTAATTTATTATTTTTATGTATGCATAATTTATATATATATGCTGTATTAAATAATTTTTGATATGTATGGATATATGTATTATTTTGTTTTATATATAATTACTTTAATTTACAATCTTGTCTTTTAGCGTTTCATACACCTAGATACTTCATATTTTTATCTGTGTATCACCCAAAGATTGACAGGTAGAGAATGCCTCAGGCATTAAGTCCGCCTATACATCATATTGTATGAAGTTTAAGTAAATAAATAAATGATTAATTATTATTCAAAGCTTTTATTTAACTTCACTTGTATGTTTGTCCTGGAATTTTGCAATCAATATTTGTCCTGCTATACCGAAGCTATCGGGCTTAAATTTGGCACACACGTTTGGCCCCGTGTAGTGACGGGAATCGTTTGGGAATTCCCGACAATTTCAAAGTCCCGTGACACGGGACTGCCTATAATCTAAGTCCCTGGGAATTCCCGGGACTTCGAGACTTTTAAGAAAAAACTTTTTTTTTAAGATGGGTAAGCCTTTTTTGAAGAATTTTAATTGAGTTAATTTCTGGTGGAACGTATTAAAAAGATTTTTTGTAAAAATCAACATTTATTAAACAATTAAGCAAAGAAGGTAGGCAAATTTGGAATAGGACAACGAAGCTGAAGGGGCTAGCACCTGGCCGACTTCATGGAGAAAGAGGGACTCTTTATGATGAACTCTTTCTTCCAGAAGTGGCCCCACAGGAAGTTGACCTGGTCGAGCCCCGACGGTTCGACAAAAAATTAGATTGACTTCATTATAACGACCAGACGACAACTGTTCAGTGATGTCTCAGTGATCGCGAGGGTGAAAATTGGTAGCGATCACCGAATGGTAAGAGGCACGCTGAACCTAAACCTTAAGTTGGAGAAGTCTCGTCTAATGAAGTGAACAGACAGATCTCCAAATGCATGCGGCGTGACTTACGCAACTACAGCTCGTATTAAAGAAGCGACCGAGTGGAACCAGGGCTCCAAATTCTTTTCTAGCGATCTGTCTGCCAGAAAGAGCCAATTGTCAAGGCTGAAGACCGAATGTGGCAGCATCGTTTCCGGGACACCTGAGATTTTGAGTGAGATTGAGAGGTTCTATGGGCAGCTGTACACGTCATCGTTGGAGCCACACGCGAGTGTGAGTAACGATCCAAGAGCGAGTCTTATCCGACATTATTCCGATGATATCCCGGACGTCAGTCTGAGCGAGATTAGAATGGCTCTCCAGCACCTTAAAAACGGCAAAGCCCCAGGTGAAGATGGAATTACAGCAGAGCTTCTGAAAGCGGGTAGAAAACCGGTACTTATAGTCCTTCAGAAGGTCTTTAATTCCGTCCTCCATGGTGGCACTACACCGGTAACGTGGGGCAGAAGTGGGGTGGTCTTGTTTTTGAAGAAAGGCGACAACTACGGACCGATTTCTCTTCTGAGCTGCGTCTACGTGCTGTTTTCGAGAGTCATTTCAAATCGTCTCGCATGCAGATTCGACGACTTCCAGCCTCCTGAACAAGCCGGTTTCCGAAAAGGCTTTAGCACCATAGACCACATACATACCCTTCGGCAAATTGTACAGAAGTCCGAGGAGTACAATTTGCCACTATGTCTGGCGTATGTGGACTACGACTCATCTTCTCGTCAGGTACACCTCAAAACCTGAAAACGAAATTGTACAACCAGTGTGTGTTGCCAGTGATGACCTATGGAACTGAGACGTGGGGCTTCAGTGCTTGCCGGATGAGGAAGCTTAAGGTCGCTCAGCGAAAGGTTCTCAAGTGGCGGCCTCGTACCGGCGGACGAAGTGTAGGGCGTCCCCCCACTAGATGGAGTGACGACCTGGTAAGACATGCAGGAAGGCTGTGATTGCAGGTAGCTCAGGACCGTGCTTTGTGGCATTCGTTGGGGGGGTGCCTATGTTCAGCAGTGGACTTATGAAGGGCTATAATATTGATGATGATGATGTCAGTAAAGTAGCATGGTGCCCTTTCAAACATTTACTTTTACCAGACCTGTCTCACTCCGCGCTTTAGGCATGAAAATATATTTACGCTGCGCGGCCCCGTATGTGCTAATTCCGTGAGGTTGTCATGCCATACGTTTACATAAAATATATTTTTCTCTAATAAGTATTTAGGCACTTTTGATATTTATTTTTGAGTTTTTATTCAAGTATGGCCTCTCAAAAAGCCAAAAGGAACTGCATATCATACGGGTGCTTAAATAAGAATAGGAAAATCGATCGATCGTAGATCGGAATAAAAATTAATAATTTTTAATCTGGAGGTAGCCGTGGTTAACTATGACATTGGAACGTCATACACCTCAGTCCCCCCCGTGATCATGGGTGCTGTAAAGTACTTGAAACGTCGGGAATGTAAAATAAGTTAATATATGCGATAAAATCCGTAAAATTAGTTTTATTTAAATAGGAATATCGACTTTTTATTCTTTACTCTTCCTAAGTATACCGAAAGGTATTATTATAAATAATACTTTTCGGTAGTTTCAGTAGTTTTTTCGGTACTTCGAGATAATTAGGTACTTAGTTACTGACGCCATTTTGTGACCCGACCACAGCTTCGTAGTTTTCGATTTTTTCGCGTATAATGCCAATGATCACACTATTTCTGTTTTAAGTAGACCTCCCAGTACTAGTGACTGCATACTAATGCAAGATCAGCATATACTGGAACTTAGTTTAACACTTGGTCGATAAAAGAAAAAGATTTGAAAGTAGCAGCACTTCTGGAAAATACAAAGACTAATGGGTAGGTTCTAGTATATATATATATATATATAGGTAAAATAATTAGTTTTTTAAAAAATTATTTACATGAAGTTTTTAAGTAAAAATTCTACAAATCGTAAAAGGACGAAATGTTTCTTGTCCTTCACTCGGAATCCTGAGAAATTACCGTTCTGTTTAGCAGATCTTTGCGCGCTGCGGCGAGCTTTACGTGGTAGATCCATGCTGCAGCTATATTATGGCATAACACGAACGGGTCGACTCGACCGGGGAAGGACCACGCTCTCACGAAATACCGGAGTAAAATAGCAGCTAAATGGTGCTGTGTTTCCTATAGTGAGGGTAGAAAACCGGAGACCCTTTTTACTGGAAACGAGTCATTCTATCATAGTCCTCAGGGGTGACAACCCATCTGCATTTTTATTCTTAAATACTCGTACTATACACATAAAATGATAGAGGTTTGCAGTTGTGCGGGCATCACGAAAAAAACTACTGGATAGATTTCAATAAGTTTTCAAAGTTTTATTTCTTAGACATTGGGCCTATATCTAAAAAAAATATTGTGATATCGTCATTTAATATACAGTTATTAAAGTTTTAAGCAACAATGATTTTTATAAGCACTACGTGTTCAGTGAAGTGCGTTTTCTTGCCGCGGAGAAGTGGGGCAAGCGGTGTAGCGTGCATGCGTAGGAGAGGGAAAGTCTCAGACAGAGGTAGAACTGCCTCATGATAACGTTAGGGCCAGCCGCGCATTATTTGCGCGAGCGACCTGATGCTGTTCAGTTGTACCTAGATCAATTGCCTCCGGTAGTTTTCTATAGTTTCCTCAGTAATTTTTCACCGTTAAATAACTAAATTTCATATATATATATATATATATATATATATATATATATATATATATATATATATAGCGGACGAAGTCGCGGGTATCAGCTAGTCAAAGATAAATGTAGATGTCTATGGGCCGCAGCATACACTTACCATCTGATGGACTGTCTGGTGGACGGTGATCATTCTGTCTTAGAAAAAAGGAAATAACAACAACAAAAAAAACGGTCAAAAATTATTGCAAAAATGTATTTAATTGAGTATCTTGTATTTACAACATATATATAAACTTAATTACGAACTAGTTTTGGTAACTTTCGTTTCAAAATAATCACATTTTAACTTCGAAATATCACTATTGTTACCGTTTTCGATTTTAAAAATGTGTCAAATTTCCTAATTATTGCAGTTTATAAATTAAAACAATAAAGGATTATTTTTCTTTATCGATTAAGCGAGTAACTCAATAATATCTAAAAGTTAGGTTGATAAAGCACCAACTAGGTCGTTTGTCAACGTCATTCTACTGACGGAAATATACAAATTGGTGAACTTCTTAAAGTATCGAATTCTTATTTTAATTCATTATTTGAATAATGTAATAGTTAGGATTGCTAAGGTCGTTAGTGAGAATGACTTATTTTTTAGGCGGGAGGTATTCTCTGTTGGGCGTCTGCGTAGGATATCTGTCACCTTGAAGACCTTGAGGTCTTCCTCCATTGCCACCAGTTGGGAAACTGGGTCCATTAGGTCTGCCAGACGGGTAGCCTTGACTGCTTCCAGATTGAGATCCAGGATAATTTGATGCACCTTGTGATCCGGGATAGTTCGGCCTTTGTGAGGTTGTCTGACTTTGAGAACCAGGGTATCCGGAACTTCCAGGGTATGAGGATGTTGCCCCTTGTTGACCAGGATAGGTAGATGAGGGACCTTGTTGTCCAGGGTAAGGAGATGACGGGCCTTGTTGGCCAGGGTAGGCAGTTGAGGGGCCTTGCTGGCCAGGATAGTTAGACGAGGGGCCTTGTTGGCCAGGGTAGTTAGATGAAGGGCCTTGTTGACCGGGGTATGTAGATGAAGGGCCTTGTTGACCAGGATAGGTAGATGACGGGCTTTGTTGGCCAGGATAGATAGATGAAGGGCCTTGTGGACCAGATGGGCCAGATGGGCTAGATGGGCCCTGAGGCCTTTGCCCTCCTGGATAACCAGTTGATGGGCCTTGTGGTCCATTGTTATTTGGATAAGAAGGGGATGGTCCCTGCGCCCCTGTGACCCCTGGATAGCCTGATGGTCTTTGAGGTCCTGGGAAACCTGAGGGCGTACCTGAAGGATAGTTTGATGGCCCAGTGCTTCCAGGGTAAGATGATCCTGTTATAGAGTAATCATAGAGATTGGCGTTGAGTTCATAGAAACTGGGAGCAGAGTTGCAGTCGAACTGATTCCACCAGACACATACGAATACCTCCTGGGAGAAGATTGTTCCATTGGGACACAGGAAATCATAAGTGATATTATTAGCGCAAACGTGAAAGACCTGACAACGAGTTTCAACATCAGCATAATATCCTGGATAGCGTTGTGCATTGCAACTGAATGATGTTTCTGGAATAATAGACAATATTGGGTAATCCTTGTCCGGTTCACCGGGTATAGCCGAATAATCACCTCCTTCGTAAGCTCCTGTATCATCGGGGCCGAAACCGGGGCTACCAGGACCAAACCCGGGGGTGCCGGGAGCAAAACCAGGTAAGCTGGGTCCTAAACCGGGCGAACCGGAGCCAAATGCAGGTGTCCCAAAACCGGGAGTACCGGAACCACCAGGCCTGCCACTTGAAATACCGGGGAGTCCTAGTGCTTGTCCAGTTTGTCCAGGGTAGTTTGTTCCTGATTGGCCAGTATAACCGGAACTAGGACTGCTGGTTCCTTGGTTTGGATAAGATGGGCGGGACCCAGGATATCCTGTATGAGACTGTTGGTTAGTTCCTGGATAGTTCTGATTACCACCACTTGACGGATATTTTGATGGTCCAGACGGATAACTCGGTGTCGATCCCGATCCTCCGTTATGGTAATCTACGCTTTGCGGAGTTGTATAGGGTGAAAAAGTTGTGTATCCACCTCCAGATGCTCCAGATGGGTAACCTGGACGGCTTGATGGAGTTCCCTGATTAAAAGGCTGGCCAGGTTTGTTGTACTCGTAGCCATTTTGTGCCAAGGTTGCCACCAGTAGAACTGTAAACAAAAAATTATGGTATTTAGAATAACAGAAAGGGAAAAGCTTTTCTAATTATATGGATGAAATAACGACATAGTACATTTGAATCAAGAAACGTTAAAATTACAGCCACTTCTTCTTCACATTGGGTACAGGCCACCTCTCATTTTTTATACCGGGTTTATATATTTACTAATGCGTTCTCTTTTAAAGCCGTTTGCAGTAATAAAATAAGCATGCAGTAAAATGCATGTAGATCCCCTTTTTTAAAGAAAAAAAAAACCAGATTAACCGTTTATGAATTGTTTAAAGCTTTTTCATTTTATGTAAGTCACCCTAAGTTGCTGAATTCATAATTTGTAATAAAACGGGTCGTTATGGAGAACGAAACGTTTCTTGAATATAGAAATCGGGGATTTGAGAGGGATATATAAAGCAATTTGCAGTTGTTCATGGGCGGCGTTAATCACCATCAGGTGAGCCGTATGCTCGTTTGCCCCCTCTCCTATAAAAAAAATTGCGCGCTGCATTGCTCCAGTGCGTGATTGCGTACTTCACCTGAACGCGAAATATTTTATTCCGTACTAACGATCCGCTCCGGCTTCGCACGATCGAGCTCTGGATATCTACAACAACGCCACCTACCAAGTCCAATTGCGAACCTAAACCAATCTAATCAACTTAATCACACACAAAATTTCATCAAAATCGGTCCAGCCGTTTAGGAGTTGAGCCACATACATACAGACAGAAGAATTATATAATATACATATGCATGTATTGTACATATAAACCTTCGTCTTGAATCATTCTGTTTCTTGATGAAAACCGCATCGAAATCCGTTGCGTTAGTTTTTATACGTGGTAGAGCCATGTTGTAGCTATATTAGTAGTATTGTTATAGCACGAATGGGCCGGTTCGACCGGGGAAGGACCACGCTCTCACAGAATACCAGCGTAAAATAGTAGCTTAAAACTGCTGTGTTTCGTATGGTGAGTGTAGAGAACCGGAGACCCTTTTTACTGGAAACCACGTATTCCATCTTAGTCCTCACGGGTGACAACGCATCTGCTTTTTGATTCGCAAACGAGGATAGATGTAGATGTCTATGGGTCGTAGCAACCACTTACCATCACGTGGACTGTGTGCTCGTTTATCATCCCATCCTATAAAAAAAATTTGTCGATCTTGTAAGCGTACAGACGGCGGGAAGCAACTACATTTTATACTATATGCAGTTACTTAGATATATAGGTTTCCCCATGTAATTTTCTTCACCGCTGAGCACATAGTAAATAAACACTAAATCCCTCCCTCATTCCCATGACCTTGGTAATTCTAAATAGGAATAGGTAGAATTAAACAGGATAAAATCAGTATTACAATTTATAAAGTTTTAATATTTCAAAAGCATGTGGTAGCTCAGAGGATAATTATAGCACTAAAAAGAGTCATAGAGACATAGTACGGTCGAAAACTAAATTTGATTTCCGTCGGCGCTACTGAATTTGTTAATCAAAATTCTAGGCGTTGATTTGCTACGTGCCCGATGTTGAAGAAAAATACCGTGAGGAAACTGCTCTGCTCCAAAATGAGAATCCATTTCCAAAATGATGTTATTCTACTTTTATATGACCTCATATTCATGTCCCTGTAATATGAAAATGTGATTGCCTCGTTGGTTTAATAGTCGTAAGAGCAACTTCTGATCATGTAGTCCCGGGTTCGAATCGCAGGTCTAAAAACCATCTCGGCCATCCAGGATTTTCTGTCCGAGAAATTCTCATTACCAGCCCGGAGTCAGGCAGTTGGCGATGAAACACGGAAATTGTAGAGCCCGGCTCTACAATTTCGGTAGCACTCTGCAGCTCAGTTCAGCAGCAGAATTCGAACAGTGATGATATTGAAATAGTGGCAAGATTGCGTGTAAATTTAGTGTGTGATATATACACGTGTTGAAAATATCATGAAGAAGCCTACACATATTTTGGGAGTAAAATATACTTTAAGGACCTGTGAAGTAGATAATATCCGCTCCATTACCATTATGATAATTATTATATTTTATTCTCTACAGTGAAAAATCTGAGAAGCATTAGTAGACATAAACGATATTATTTTTTACTATATTTTACAGTATGACGATAAATGCTAGTATGAAAAGTCGTGGTAGCTCAGATGTAAGCTTCACAGTACGCGAGCAACCCGGGTTCGATCCCCGCCGCCATCAATGAAATTGTTAATTGCAATTTTAAGTGCTGATTTATCACGTGCTCGACGGTGAAGGAAAACATCGTGAGGAAACCTGCATGTCCGAGAAATAAGAAAAAAATATTACAAAGACATGTGAAGTTCGCCAACACGCATTGGGGCAGCGTGGCGGACATTTCCTTGCCCTAAAACCCTCTCAGAAATGAGAGGAGGCCTATGCCCAGCAATGGGACGTAAATAGGCTGTAACTTTACTTTTATATTAAATACTTTGTCTACCCAATTTTTCTCCTAACACTTATTTGTCGTACATACCTGCATACTTCAATTAAATTAAAAACGTCTTGCTAAACAACTATTATGTCTTGATGGAACGCCATCAAATGGAAACGTTTTTTGTCTTTGCTCGTGCCATGTCTGAGAATGTAACGTGTGTTTTGTTATTTAACTGTGAAGTAGGGACCCATTATTATCTTCTAAAGTACTAATAATATAATATCTGACGTTAGGGGACTGTAGTATTTATCGTATACCATGCTTGAGGCATAACGCTATACCCAACATTTCTATGTGTAGTATTGCGGGCATCTATGCAAGGTTGCTACAGGAAATAATATGTTATATTAATAAATAATAGCAGACTGCACGGTCAGGTAAGCAATTGTGTGATACTTGTCTTCTACGATGCGGGCTCGTTGGTCCTGTGTTCGAAACCCAGCTGGAGTCAACATTTGTGCAGAAACAAATGTTTGTTTTCAAGTTTGATTGTGCATTGAATGTTGCTGTATCGTCGACATTGTATCATAACCTACCTCCGATCTTTTATTATAAACTTGTTACGACCTTACTCGTAAATTGACTAATAATTAATAATGTTAATAGAACAGTGGTAGCTCAGAGGATGGTAGCTCGGTTTAAATTTCATAGTATGAGAACAAACCGAGTTTGACCTGGTACAATGAAATTTTTAACAGAAATTTGTAGTTATTATAATGCAATCCAATATATGTATTAATAAAAATATTGAAGAGGCTGTAAAATATTAACAACTAGGTGATACCCGCGACTTCATCCGCGTTGTCTGATATATCAAGTAAACACACATCACTGAATACGTAGTACTTATAAAGATCGTTGTTTCTTGAAACTTTAATAACTTTATATTAAATGAAGATATCGCAATATTTTTTTTAGATAAGGGCCAAATGTTTAAGAAATTACATAATTGAAATCTATCTAGCAGTTTTTTCTGTGATGCGCGCACAACTGCCATCCTCAATCATTTGATTTATATACAAATCTATTGTACATAACTTAACAACTATTATAATTGTATGAACTTATTTTTTTAATGATATAATACGACAGCATTGTTTAAATTTACTGACAACCCTATAATATGCGAATGACATCGCGTGGCGTGGGACAGACACTTACCATTGAGGCTTTTCGCAACGGCCGTTAATGGGAAAATTGTCGCAATAAAAGTAATTTTACTCTTCGGGTTAAAACTTTAATATTAATTGTGTGATACATTACCGAGTTTCGAAATACTTTAATGCACATTTCCTTATGATAGTTGTATTTTTTTTTATTCCCTTATTGAGTTTACATATCATACCTCCCCTTACTGGAGTTCACTATAACCACAGAATAAATAATAATACGAGTATAACAATATGCGTGAAAATATTTCATTTTAAATGTATTTAGTATGAGATGTGTTATTGACAATAAATGTTTAACCATATGTGAACGATTGATGATGATTTTAGGGCAAGGTTGACAAACACCCTACCCCGATGCGTGTTAACGGACTTAACATGTTTTACATTTTTTTTTATTTCTCAGACATGCGAGTTTCTCAAGATATTTTCCTTCACCCCGAACACGTGGTAAATCAGCTCTTGAAATTGTAATTAAACATTTCGTTGGAGCTGGTGGGGATAGAACCCGGGTTGCTCGGGTTCTGTGAAATTTGCAGCGAGCGCTTAGACCCTGAGCTAACATGGCTCGTTACGGCATTACTTTACATTTTTAATGTAGTGGTCGCCTTTGAATTCGACTAAAACCTAAAAAGGAGGGGTCCCAAATCGACTGTATGTTTTTCGTATATTTATTGTGAACTGATTTTCATGGTTCTTTATTATTTAAAGGTTATATTTTAGTGAATGGATAGGAAAACGATGGTAGAAGCTTTGAAGTTAACATTAACATTCTAGTGTCAGGAAATTCGCTGGTGTAATGGCAATTTTCAATAAAATATACTATCACTATAAAAAATAAAATATTACCAATGTAATTTAATAAAAAAACATGTTTGAAATTAACATTCCTTAAAGTTTTCGTGACTGAAATAAATGTAAATAAAAAATGCCGTAGCAATGAAATCAAGGAAGCATTGGATTAGTGTTTCCAAATATATAGCGATGGTTCACGCCTAACGTTAATGTTCGTAGGTACTTAGATTTAATGATTACATTTTAATGACTATATTCGCATCTTCACATTTTATTCGTGTGGAAATTGACGTTAGATTTTGATCCACTGCATGTGCTACGATTTTTTAATGTGAAAATAAGTTTAATAAGATTTTTAATATATATATTTTTTGTGTATATGCTGGCTGCATAGATAGATGTGCATGGATTAGAGAATAAAATAAAATAAAGTGAATCATACATGTCTGATTTTTACTTTTACCTGGTATCTTAAAGCCTGTTCAAGCATAGCAAATGCAATCAGTGATCACTGCGGGGCTTCCTAATGAAGTTGCGTACTTTTCTACAGGCCTATGATTTCTGGT